ACTTCACTGATGGCTACGTGAGCAACAGTTATTTGACTGAGGGCTAAGTTAGAAACAGCCACTTCACCGACTGCTAGGTTAGCAACAACAGTTTCATGACAGCTACGTTACTAACAGCCACTTCACCGAAGGCCAGGTTAGCAACACTAACTTCACCGAGAGCTACATAAGCAACAGTTACTCACTGATGGCTAAGTTAGTAGCAGATACTTCAGCAACGTCTAAGTTAGCAACAGCTGTGTTAGCTACCGATGGCTAATCGGCAACTGTTGTGCTTCCGACAGCTAAGTTAGCAACAACTACTTCACCAATGGTCAAGGAGAAACTGTTATATCGACAAAAGCTATGTCACCAACAGTAACACAGTGCACTGCCCCCTACAGGTCAAAGGTCAGTTTCTAGATAAAGTTAGGGAGAGCAAGAGTTTAGGTGCCAGGATGGAGCGGAGCCTTGGCTGCTGCCAGAAGGAGTCAATTTCAGGCTGAAATGGTGAAAAGGGAGCTAAGCTAAAAGCAAAACCCTTCCCTAAGCTGCACTGATATGCTCTGACCCTCATGCCAGCATCTACTGTCTTCCACCAAAAGAGACGTCATTCATTTGAACAGGATCACAGAGTGACCCAGGTCAGATACGGAATCCAGGCCCTTCAGTAGGTTCTGGGTCGACTCAGAACTCCCCTCATCCATAGTCATGGGTCAAAAGCTGATCCAGCTAAAATAAGCCTCCTTCATAGTGAGGCTGGGCTCTGATGACATGTTGAACCGTATCAGCAGCGAAAGAGTTGGGTAAAAACATTCATCGTAATTGATGAATGTTGTTAGTAGCAAACACTTAGTGGTGGTTTCAGGACCTGCGTCAACTATTTTAAAGTCTAAAGATGGTGATGTGAGAGCTGGGTGCGAGGAGCTCTGTCTGGGCCTTCTGTGCTCTCCAGGTCAAAGGTTAACTAGGGAGGAGAAGCAGAACAAACTAGAGGGATGTTAGAACACCTAAGGAAGAGGCAAATATTGGGTCTGGGTTACCGCTTTCAATAGAGGGCGTTCAATCAGTTAGAGGTCGCCATGTTTGGGTTAGTTTAGACTAAACATATCAGTAGGTTCCACCCCTGTATCTGGTCCAACAGTAGCTCTGCACATATAAACAGGTTTTAGTAGTCATTCTTTAATGTGGGGTAAATTAGTTTACATCCAGCAGAGCTTTAGAGGGAAGTTAGGAAGATGTATCTTTTTGTCAGGTGGATATGTTCAGGTTTTAATAACTTGAATCACTTCCTCTTTGTTTGGTTTAAATTGTTCAAAGTTAACTGTATAAAAGGGGGACAGGTTTCCCTTCTGGTGTGACCGCGCCTTAACAGAAATACAAACCAACTTAAAATTTCATGTCAGATCATTAGCTGGTCTGTAAAAACAGAACAGATCATTCATTTTTATCTCGTGGCCAAACTCGCCACCTTTTCTATCCAGGATTACTGGAAAAGTCCTCAGAAGTTGTCTTTCCAAAAAGAAACTCAACATTAAAACGAACTACAGTCCAGCCAGTGTCCGTCGCTCCGTCCGCCTCTGCTCGACTCCACCGATTCAAGTCTGATGATCCGTAAAGATGTCAGTTTGTGTAATTTGCTTTTTTTTTATGTACATTTGGGGAAAACTGGAAGAAAAACGGATGAGAGGGGAGGGGGGGGATGGGATTGACAAACATCACTGTCTTAAGGCCTTATTTCCTTTGTACAACTCTTCTGAGACGTTCTGCGTTTGGACTCCTTTTCCGGGGCGCTGGGCTGGGTTTGGTGGCGGCGGGCTGCTGCTGAGGAGCCGTCGAGGTTAATAGTTATTATGGATGATCCCTGGTGGCAGAGACAAGTCAAGCCATCACACATGTGAGGAGGACATAGAGGGACACAGGGAGGAGGGACAGCAAAGCTACATCTGCTGCTAGTTTTTTAAAATACTGATCGACTTTTAAACTCAGCCATTCCCATGATATAGTACAAAAGTTAGAGGCAAAAAGTAGATTTTAGTTTTTTTGTTACTTTCACTCCGAGCTAAAGGGCAAAGTTAGCAGCTCTCTGCTTCGTAATGACCTGATTACTGCGTCTCATCTAGTCATGCACAGCTACCGCTCCTTAAGGGTGTTCCTGTGTCCTGTTGCTGGCGGCCATCTTTGTTTTGTCTTTGCCCGGGGGGCATTTAGAGTCATTGGGAGGGGCCTGGTTGGGCCTGCTTCCGGGAGCATGCTTGGTGGGGGAGCTAGTCGAGGTAGGGCTGCCTGGGGGGTGCGACGCTTGGATGTTCTTCTCGTCTGAAAAAAGCTGTTTAATTACGTCAAAGAAGTTACTCAACGGGCTGCCTACACAGACGGGAAGAAAAGAAAGAACAAAAAGAGAGAGAGAACAAACAACAGATGAGCAATGGGGTCAACATGAGGAGAAGAAGAGGAGGTGATGAGATGAGGAGTGGACCAGGAGAAAAGGAGACCGATGCCTCTGTAGGTAATTAATCCCATTCACCTTCATTTGGAAATAATCTGATTATAGAGCTGGCTGATCAGGGACCGGTACCAGAGCATAAAACTGGAGCCATGACGTCTCAGGCAGTTGCTGAATCACCCTACGTACAATCCAAAAGGTGAGGGAAAGCCCAGATATTGCATAAAAAAATACCTCATATCAACGTTAGCGGCTAGAATCTCAAAGATCTGATATCGTTCTGGTCAGTGAATGCATCTTACCAAAGAGCATGGAGATGCTAGAAGATGCTTAGGTGCTATGTCTTAAGTCTAGCAGCTAGTTGCTTTGCTGAATTTGCAGTTTTTGTCTTTTGAGGCAAACTTTTTGGGTAGAAAAAGGAACCATGTGATCTAGAACATCGATGTTTGTCCCCTGGGGGAGTTAGCCAGACTGACCCAGATCTTAACTCTGTAAACAGAACAGCTAAAAATCCATATTAAAAGTTTCTTTTTACTTTAATCTTCTGTTTGGATGCTGATTGTTTTTGGAAAATCCTAAAATGATTATCACAACAAATATCTACCCGACTCTTTCCCGAACCCTCTGATCCTTGGATCTCAAGCTGCTAGAAGCATCTGATTGGACTGTTTGACGATTCGGTAACTGCCTGCTGTGCCAATAGTTCCTGTCCCATGGTGCCGGTTCTTGTTGTGGATTTAAAATGTTCTCCATCCCCATCACTTGTTTGCATTTGGACAAAACGACGTCCGAATTGAACTTTTTGTTATGTTCTGTTGGCTTGGACCTGTATTGGTTTGTCCTAAATAAGAGGAGACGCATTTTCTGCTTTTGTTTGCTTGGTTTCAGTCTCAGGTTCTCCTGCATGATGAAGGGCCCAAACGGAGCACTGGAAGACTTCCGAATACCACTCGGAACCAAAGATTCTGTTAGATCACCTTAAAAGGACAATTAAACACAAACAAAATAAAATAATTAGTTTGACAATAACTATGAAGAAAATATCAGAGATTTAAAAGATAAAAACAAAAAAAAACTTTAATTTTTTGTTATGTGAAAAGCAGGATTTAGTTTCATCAAGTCCTTTCTTTTCTCTAGATATTTCCTCTATATTTACATTATTGCCTTAAAAACTGTAAAAGCACCTAAAACGTGTTGTTTTATTGGTAAGTTACAGTAATCTTTATTGATTTAAAGCACAGCTGAAACTGAAATAAAGTGTGAAAAAAAAATTTACTTCCTGTTGGTCTAAAGCAGAGGTTGCCAAACTTTTCAACTCCTGACCCCTAAAATTACCAACATAACAAATAGTTTAAAAATAATACGGAGATTTCTGGAATTTTTTTTCCGATTATGTCTCTCATAGTGGACATTAACCTACAATGACAAAATCAGATCCTTCCATGATTTCTAAGTGGGAGACTTTGCAAAATAGCAGGGTGTTCAAATACTTTTTTTCCTCAGTGTATAAACTTCAGCAAGCTATGAGCCTCTGATATCTACTGAACTGTCCCCCAACAAACCTGTAGGGGGAGCTCTACATAAAACTTGGAGTAGGGATGAAAAAGGATGGTAGCTCCCTCAGCAGTGTCACTACCCGATCCGTTCCGCTCATGTGCGAACAGATATACATCCAGGTATCCATAAATAATGTGATTATGGTACTAAACTAATTATTTCTATCCTTAACTCACCAAAGAATAGTAATACACATCCGCAAAAAATGTTTTATAACTTTGGGAGACAATTTTTATGCTTTGTACATTTTCTACCTTAGATTGCTTCTCACGTGATTATCAGACCTGCTCAGAGCAGTCCGGTGAAATAAGATTAAACCATGTTTATCTGCATTTTAGTTTTTTCTTTCTTTTGATAACGCTCTATATAGCATAAGGTTAAAATGAAACAAAAACATAAAACTATAAAACATTAGATTTTGCCAAAGAAAGTTAGCTCCCGGATGTAGCGTAGGATCCCATTTCCGGTGTAGCTCGAGACAAGTGATAAAAGAAAGGAGTTTAAGGCATTTATTTTCTCAAGGAACCCATTATTAACCATTAAAGGTAAAATATAATGTGTTAAAGTTTAACATATTATATTTTAGTACGTTTACTATTTTTTGGTAAGGGAAAACATCATTTAGATATTTTTAACAAACTAAAATCGAGGACGACCTGGAAGTATATCTGGATGCACAGAATGGATCGTTCTTCCGGCACGGATCCTGGAAATGACAAACAGTAAGAGCTTCTACTGAAAGATGAGGCTTCGTGAGATCTGAAGGAGCTGAGCAATGACAAAATGTGTGAATTCTGGACATTTGTTCTCCGTAATGCTTGCTGCTAACCTATTCTTGTGCTAAATGAATTTAGTCTGAAAAATACGGTTATTATTATGAATTGTGTTAATATTTAAATACATAATTTTTTTAAATGACATTTTATTCCTTTTTTTTTCTCAGTGTTTTTTTATTGTCATTACACTGTCACAAGTACGGTGAAACGAAATGAACTCTCTGCATTAAACCCTCCCCTTGGGAAGCAGTGGGCTGCCATTTGCGGCGCCCGGGGAGCAGTGTGGGGTTAAGGGTCTTTGCTCAGGAACCCATAAAGGCAGCCTTTGGGAGTAGGTTTCGAACTCACAACCTCACGATTCCAAGCCCTACGCACTAACCACTATGCAGCCACCTTTTCAATGTTTTTTTAATAATTTAATGGAAAATTTTAATATCAAATTGTGCATTTTATAATCTCACAATATATTTACTGTAATAATTAAATCAAAATAAATAAATGTACTGTTAAATTTATAATATCTACATATTTAAAAGTACATTTATTTATTTCGTAATATATTTTGGTCCTCCATATAATTTAGAAATCACATCACAATGATTGTCAAAATCATCTCAGGACTGCCGGGGGGTCCTGACCGTCGCTATGGGAACCCCTGGTCTAAAGAATGGACTAAGCCGTCCTTTGAAGTGTTCCGTTCTTTAACCTCACACATTGAGACTGAGTTATCAAAAGAAAAGGTAATTTTATGAAATAAAAGGTTATTTTATGTTAAAGTCATTTCCAACAATAAAAAGCTCTTCGCTGCGTCTTCCAGAGCTCCACTGAACCCAACATCACTGTCAACATCCATCACAGCACTCACAGAAAATGCATCCGTTTTCAAGGACAAATATTATTTTCATACAGTCAATAAAACATGCAACGATAAACAGAACAAACATGGTTACACGTCACATATTAATGCCAGAGTTAGTGCAGAACCGGGTTTCCTTTACATCGGATGCCCTTTGGTGGAGATAAATGTGCCGTCGTCATAGAAACTTACCATCACTCATCTGAGACGAACACATTTTCACATTAGTGTGTGGTGTTTAGTGTCAGTGGTTTTTCTTTGCTCTGCTGAACTCTAGAAAGGTTTTGCTGACCCTCAGTGAAGTCTGAGCATGCAAAGGATGGTTAGGAGCCAATCACTCAGGGGCCCACATCCAGCTATCTAATCATTTCTATGGCCCTTTAACAGGGAAAAGAAATAAGAACATGAAATAATAGAAAAACTTCAGCTTGTGCAGACAGTTTAGGTAAATGTTGGTTAAGCCCTGGAGCTTCTTGCACCGTTATAACAAACAATACATTTTTCCTAATCTTTTAAATTAAGATTGTTAGCATCTTATTCTTTTTTTTTTGTTAACATCTCTACCTTCTTTTAATTTAATTTTTTAAAGGTTGACATTAACTTTTTTTGCTTTGATTCTTCTGAAGAGTTTCACTGCTGCTGCTTTTGGATCGTTTTTATAGACGTTTCTGATCCAGGGTCCATTTCATGAAGCAGGTTTAAAAACTAAGTTTTCTAAACCTGAAATTAGGGAAAAGCTGGCAGTTTCTCGATTCCCAAGAACGTAAGTACGGATTATTGTTCTCACCAAGTATGATCTTGAGAAGGACACAGTAAAGTGTGGACTCTGGAAGAACTGGAGCACTATAATTATGGTCAACTGGAACAGAAGCGTACTCGTGACATCACCACATTTAAAGCTAGTCTGGAGCTGCATTTTTACCTCCTATTATTAAGATTTTATTTAAGAATGATCGGCATTACTTCACAGAGAATTAAATATTTACAAGGAGAGGATTCTACAACTCAGTTGTCAGGATACAAAATGTATTTGTCTTTGGTTTGTTTAATATGAGAGACATGCAGATCATTTTTTTTTTTGAGTACATGAAGAACTACTGAAATTATTTTCAGATTACACACAGATTAATTCCGTTGAGGGAAAAGGAATTACCTTAGGGTTAGGATTCAAGGTGGTAACAACCTACTAAGGTATTCCTTAGATAGAAAACTTTGTATCAATTTGACTGTATGATCTGGTTGAACTGTAAAGTGCCTTGAGATGACATGTGTTGTGA